CTGAGCCCATTCCTGCAGCCACTGCGTCCATCCATCTTGTCTAAGGTCCTTGGCTGTAACCAGACTGTCGATGAGGCCCCCTCCCTTCCCCCTTGTGGTGTCCCCTGCCTTGCTCTTTCCGAGTGTGGAGCCCGTCACCACCCTACGGTCTGCCCTCTGTGCTGTGACAGTGGCAGCGTGAGTTTGTGCCCTGAAAGCTCAGGGCATGGCTTTTCCTTTAACAATATGCAGCCCGGAGGGCAGGGGTGGGGGCAGTGGAGACTATGGGGTGGGGGTCTCCCTTCCACATGGGAGACCCGGGTTCAATTCTCAGCCAAGGCACCCAATGCACAGCCCCCACGTGCCTGTCAGCAGAGGACTGTGTGCTGCTGAGCACATTTCATCGGAGCTCCCAGACTAAGCCGGACTATCTGCTTCCAACAAATTAGGTCATGCAAACCCCGTGGGTCACCAGAGGCTGGTCCCATTGTGTGGGGTTCCCCAAGATCCGAGGGCCAAATCCACCACCGCTGTCAACACCCCCATGCATTCTGCACCACAGACCGTGTCTACACACATGAAGGGGGCAAGTGAGGAGCCTGGGGGTGCTTCCAGCTCTGTGCAGCCCCTCGTGTTCTTCTGGGAGCCCTGGTGGCATGGTGGTGGCGCTTTGGGCTGTTAACCAAAAGGTCAGAAATTAGAAACCAGCAGCTGCCCTGTGGGAGAAAGATGAGGCCGTCTACTCCCGTTAGGAGTAACAGTCTCAGAAACCCACAGGGGCAGTCCCGCCCTGTCCCGTGCGGTCACTGTGTATCGGCACCGACTCCTTGGCTGTGTTCTGGTTCTCCACACTCCATGCTGTGCTGCTGCTGCCGGTCTCTGACTCGGGCCAGCCGATTGGCCCAGCACAATCCCCCATGGCTTGATTTCTCAACCGCTGCTCCCTTGGGCCCTGGCTGCTGAGCCAACTTCTTGTTAACCTGCATTCCTGTTCATTTCCCAGGAGGCTGTTGGTGGATCCAGTTGTGAGGGTCTGGGTGCCATTTCCATCCCCATGTTATCCGTCCAGGGGGTCGAGCTCTTGGGCTGAAGGCCCAATCACTGTTGGAAACATGGCTAATCCATGGGGCTAGTCCCACTCACAGCGACCCTACAGGACAGGGCAGAACGGCCCCATGGGTTTCTGAGACTGTGATCCTTTGCGGGAGCAGAAAGCCTCGTCTTTCTCCTGAGGAGCAGGCTGGTGGTTTTGAACTGTTGACCTTTGGGTTGGCCGGGCAGCACTTCATCCTCTGCCCCACCAGGCTCCTTCGTTTATGGAAAAGGAAGCTAAGACAAGAGCAAGACCCGGCCTGGATGGAGTCCAGTCATGGCGGGGGCTGGGGGGGCCAGGGGGTGGAGGCTTGCAGAAGGCGTGGGCAGGGCTGGTGGTCTTGGGACCAAAGCTGGGAGCTGGAGCCTCTGGGGGTCTGGGAAGGGAGGAGGGTTTCCACAGCCCCATCCGCTGGAGGAGCATCTGGGAAGGAAGCAGGGAGCAAGCTAAGAAACGCCCCCACCCCACCCCCCAATCTGCTCCCATCGACAGACACCCCACACACACACACAGGCAGATGGAAAACAGGGAACCCCAGCAATGCCCATGGGTGTCTACCTGGGGGCCCAGAGCAGACAGAGAGCGGAGGGAGCCCTCTCCCCAGACCAGAAAGCCCCCCTCCTTCCGGAGCTTCCTGCCTCCCACGCCTCCTCTGCTCCTCGCCAGGTGATCGCAGACATCCTCGCGAGCCAGGAAGAGGAGGACAAAAACAAGAAGAAGAAGCGGGAGGAGAAGGAGAAGAAGGAGAAGGCGGTCCAGAGAGAACGGAAAGGAAGCAAGGAGAGACCGAAGGTAGACCACCAGGACGGGAGGGGTCTTCGCAGTGTGTCCTCTTTGGGGTTTGGTTTTGGGGGGTTTGGGTTGAGTTTTGTTGTTGCTGTTTATCTCTGAGCCAGTGGGGTGCCCCCCCAACCTGTGCCCATTGCCCCCCTCGGGCTCGAGGACCCCTTTCTCTCAGCCAGTTGGTGGAAAGAGTGGTTTGTGTTGACCGACACTTGGTGGTCAGCTCTCCTGTGACCGCTGGGATTGGGGGTGGTCTCAGCCACACAGGGACACCTCCCCGCCACCCCTAGTGTGCGTGGCCGTTTGTGAACGTTCATGCCACACACAGCTCTTCCCAGCCATCTGGGGGCAAGCACCCAGGTAAGAGGTGGGGTGGGGGCAGGGGCGGGGCACTTGTCAAGGTGACCCCTGGAGGGGATGGAGGAGCACATGGACTTCAACTGGAAATGAGCGCATTGGATCCTGTCACGCATCTCGTGCCACCTGGGGGCCAATTTCATGGCAACGCGTGTTCCTCCTTGTCCAAAGGGTGGGCACTGGGGTGCTTCCCCCAACAGTGAGTGGTTCAAACCCACCAGCTGCTCCGTAGGCAGATGATGAGGCCGTCTGCTCCAGTGAAGGTTGACAGCCTTTGGGGGAGGGGAGTGGGGGCGGCTGTGGCAGTTCTGCTCTGTCCCCTGAGACCATCGTGAGCCAGAATCAACTCAGAAGCCCTGGGTCTGGCTGTCTGGCTGGCTGTTTACTCTGGGTCTGTCTGTCTGCCTATTTAGTCTGGGTCTGTCTGTCTGTTTAGTCTAGGTCTGTCTGTCTGTCTGTTTAGTCTAGGTCTGTCTGTCTGTCTGTTTAGTCTAGGTCTGTCTGTCTGTCTGTTTAGTCTGGGTCTGTCTGGCTGTCTGCCTGCTTAGTCTGTGTCTGTCTGGCTGTCTATATGGGTCTGTCTGTCTGTTTAGTCTGGGTCTGTCTGGCTGTCTGGCTGTTTAGTCTGGGTCTGTCTGTCTGCTTAGTCTGTGTCTATCTGTTTAGTCTGGGTCTGTCTGTCTGTGTGTTTAGTCTCTGTCTGGCTGGCTGTCTGCTTAGTCTGGGGGAGTCCTGCAGGCGCAATGGGTTAAGTGCTTGTAAACATGCTCCACATGAGCCCATTGGCCCAACGCTTACTTGACTTGCCACCAGTCGTCCTTGCTGCTTCAAGGTCATTTTGATGCCCTCACCTCTCCACGTCTGTTTCAGACGGACAATTAACGCAAACACGATTCTGCTTCTGGCAGGAGGAGAGTGAGGAGTGGAAGATGTCCCCCAGCCTCTTCCTCGGCGGGATGGAGGAAGGGAACCAGCTGTTCAAAGGTCGGTGGGGGTGCCAGGCACCAGGAGTGAGCTTCTGGCTCCCCACTTGGCACCGGTGAGGGTGGGGGTGTAGGCACCTCATCTCACTATTTCAACCAGCCAGTGGCATGCCTTTGAGTGCCCAGCAGAACCTGGGGTCGCAAGGCATGGCTGTGAGCTACGTGCCTTTGGGTGAGAACACCCCCAAATCTCCATCCTGCTCTTGAGCCCCTAAGACCCCAGCTGGACACAGTGGCAGGCGAGCAACCTGTTTCCGAGGACCACCCTCGCTCCCGTGCGTGCAGGTGGAGAGTCTCAGCCTATCAAGCCGAGTGAGACTTGCACCCCCATCCTGTCAACTCTTTCTTCTTCACCTCGTTCAGCAAAAAAGAAAAAATAAATAGCATAGCTCTAATCTGGCTCGGACAGCAAAGGCACCACTGGGCCTCCCCATATTTCCATCGTCGTATCCTGAAACTGCTCCTCCACCCTGGGTCCCGTCAGACCCTGGAGATAAATCCCAGGACAAGCTGACCAGCCAGGCGACCCCAGTCAACGAGAAGTGGAGTACAGTGAACCCTCGTTTATCGCGGCTAATCGGTTCTAGACCCTACCGTGATAAATGAAATTCCGCGAAGTAGGATTCCTTATTTGTAAATCAAATATTTTCGTAGTTAGAGCATAGAGGACATGAAAAAACACCCTTTAGTCACCATTACACTCGTATTACCCAATTTATTAAACGAAAAAGGGAAAATACAGTAAAACATTTTGGACGTTACAATTATCATTTATTATTTATTATATTATTTATGGCATCAAGCGTGTACAGTATGAGCCAATCAGTGGCAGTAATGACAGAGCATGCGCTGTTACGCAAAAACCGCGATAGAGTGAAGCCGCGGAAGTCGAAGCGGGAAGTGGCGAGGGTTCACTGTACTTTCCAACGTCCGCCGCTAGCCCGCCTCTGGACAGCCCTGGGACACATGCATCTCAGACCAGATTCTAGTGGATCCTACACTTGTACCACCGGCCTCTCCACCCACCCCACCCCGAGGTTCACACTCAGACCCAGTTTAGATACACCCAGTGGTCGGAGAGGAAATTAAAATATCTCTGCGTGCACCACCAAAACATTCTCTTACGTAAGCAGCCTTGCCCTCATGATGGGGAGCCCCATCGTGTGAACTGTCAAACAAAGCCTGAGGTTTGAGTCCGCCCAGAAGCATCTCAGAAGACAGGCCTGGCAACCCCTGCCCAACCCTGCGAAGCACACGGTACCATGCTGACATGCATGGCCTGCAGCTGCTGGTTCTCAGGAGGGCAGCACGAGGCTGCCGCTGAAGCCGGTGCAGCCGCCGCCACTGCCACCACTGCCGGGAGAGACAAGGAGAAAGGTCTAACCACACCCCACGGCCATCCAGCTGGACTCAGCCGACTCTCTAGGACAAGGGAGGCCCACCCCCAGAGGGTCTCGAAGGCTGTGATGTGAATCTCTACAGTCGGAAACGGCCATGTTGTCCTCCCGACAAGCAAAACAGCTGCTGGGTTCAAACCACCAGCCTTACTGTTAGCAGCCCAGCTCTCTAAGTACCATGCCATCAGGGGTCCTGGAGGAGAAGCTGGACTCTATTGCTTACAGCTCCCATGGAGAGGAGGCTGCCACACAGAGGCAGCTCTTTAAGTTCACGTTAAATGGTGTGTGCCAGCAGAAGCCTGGGGCCCTGGAGTTGGCGTCTCTGTGGTTGGGGCTGGAGTTAGCTAAATACCCTAGCTCTCTGTAGATGGGATAATTTGAATGATCTCATGAACCAGTGAGTGGGCTGGGGCTTCTTCATAGACAGCCCTGGGTTGATGATTATCACTCGCCTGTTGTCGTGGCCTACGGGAACGGCCAGAGTTTTGCTGTGATGCTGGAAGCAAAGATACTGGAGGTCCATTTCTAAGGAACCAGGCACCAAAAGCCTGGTGGCTAGCAGCAAAGCCAGAGGTGAGCCTGGAAAGTTGGAATACCACTGAGAATGCGACTGCAGAAGAGCTGTCTCCTCAAAGGAGAGGAAACGGCCTTAATATTAACTGCAGGTGGAGCCAGGCTTTCGGACCTTCATTTGCTGGTGAGGCATCCCTTAAAATGAAATGAAGCGGCTATAAGCATCGATTGATAGTTGGAAATTGGAACGTATGAATCTAGGAAAATTGGACGTCATCAGAAAGGAAGCGGAACGCATAAAGATTCACATCCTAAACATTCGTGAGCTGACGTGGATGGGGACTGACCATTGTGAGTCAGGTGGTCATGGGTTGTGGTTTACCGTGCTGAGAATGACAGATTCAAGAGGGGTGGTGTCACACCCATCGTCCAAAAGGTCATTTCAAGATCTGTCATGAAATGCAGTGCTGCCTGTGGCAGGGGACTGTAGGTCTACATGGATAAGGAACCCAGTTAATAAAACCCTTGTTCAAAAGAATGGACCAACCACTAAAGCTAGTGGGGATGAAATTGAACAATTCAACGAACACCTGCAGTCTGAAATTGATCAGACATGCATTGGAGATGCATTGATAATTGCTGGCAATTGGAATACAAAATTTGGAAACCCCGAGAAAGGTGAGAGGAGATGGAAAACACGGCCTTGGTGATGGAGATGAAGCCGGAGATCACACGGCGGAATTTTGCCAGACCAATGACTTCTTCGTCACAAATACCATTTTTTCAACAACAAAGACGATGAGTACTCATGTGGACTTTGCCGGGTGGGATACACAGACATCAAAGTAACTACATCTGTGGGAAGCTCAGAATCGCAGCAAAAACCAGGCCAGGAGCTGACTGTGGAACAGACCATCAATTGCTCACATGTAAATTCAGGTTAAAGTTGGAGAAAATTAAAACACGTCCCAAGAGTCAAAATACACCCTTGAGTATATCCCACCTCATTTTCTAGAACCTATCAGGGATGGATATTGAACACTAATGACAGAAGACCCCACAAGCCGTGGGAGGGCATCAAAACTATAACACCTGAAAAAAAAAATCTAAAGATCATGAGAAAGACGGGAAAGAAAGAAAAAAATCGAAGTGGATGTCAGAAGAGACTCTGAAACTTGCTCTTGGTTGTAGAGTAGCTGAAGCAAATGGAAGGGATGATGAAGTAAATTCGTTCAACAGAGAAGTTCAAAGGGCAGCTCAAGAAGACTGCAAAGTAGAGTCTCATAGTGAAATTGCAAAGCCCAAAGGGAAGGACATGCTCACCGTGTTCTGAAAGAACTAAAGAAATCCAGGCCGCGGGTTGAAATATCAAGAGATTCCATGGGCGTGTGAAAGTTGGACACTGAATACAGAAGACCCAAGACAAGCCGATGCATTTGAAGCACGGTGCTGGCGAAGGAGGCTGAAAGCACCGCGGACCACCACAGGAACAAAGAACCTGGCCGGGAAGAAGTACAGCCAGAACGGCCTTGGGAAAGAACGGCGAGACTTAGCTCACGTACTTTGGACATGTTGTCAGGGGAGACTAGTCCCTGGAGAAGGGACTCGATCGTGGCTGGTAAAGTGGAGAGGCAGCACAAACAGGAAGCCCTTCACAAAGATGGCTGAACACAGCGGCTGCAGCAACGGACAAGACAAAGTGCCTCAGGCTGGATGACTTACAGCAACCGGAGCGTCCTCCTTCTGATGGCCAGAGTTCAAAGTCAAGTTGTGGGCAGGGTGTTGCTCCCTGAAGACTCTAGGGACAGCGCCCTCCTCGTGTCTCTGAGAGCTTCTGTTAGTTCCTGACACCGCTGGCCTTCATTGACGTGTGGCAGCAGCTCCCCAACCTGTGCCACCGTCTTTACATAGCCATCGTCCCTCTGTGTCTCTCTGTCTCTCCTCTTCTATAGGATGCCACTCACGCCTGGTCAGGGCCCAGAATGACCTCATGTTAACAACTGTCATGCATTCTCCAAACGTCCCAAATGATTTTTATCCGAGATTGCAATCTGCAGGAGATGAGAAAGTTAGATTTATGTTTTATAGTACAGACATTGTTTTATTAACCTGTATGTTGAGATTTTGCCACCCACCCCATTTTTGTTGGTTTGTTTCTATCTCTGGAATATAGACATGTGGAAGAACAAAGACGAATCTTGGAATTTCCCCCAGGACTATGATCCAGAACTGATCAAAGAGGAGAAACGAAAAGAATTAGAGTCTGAGATCCGGTTGCAGGTATCACTGCATTTGGGTCGTAGGAATAGCCTGTCAGTTACTGCAGTGATGTGCTGGGGCGGGGGCATTGTTATGGTTGCTTTTTTTTTACAATTTCCTGTGGATGGCCTGACCCCAGCATTTAAGCTAGTTTTGAACTTCACAATGAACACACAGGACACTCAAGTATCTAAAATGTGGTACATGCTTTCTACACACCCAGGTCGATGAGCTGATGAGGCAGGAGCTAATTAATTTGAAGCTCGCTGTGGACCGAGAAAAGGAATTACCACCCAGAGGACAAAAAGGAGGTAATAAGGTGAGTTGGGCTGGAACACAAGCAAGGATGAGGCAGGTGGGAGATTCCAACGGTGACCAGAAGCCCCTACCCACATGCCATGGACAGTGCCGAGAGCTGCCACGCCCGGGCGTTTTCAGTGGCTTTCCTTCCTTACTCTTCACCCACTTCGACATGCATATAAGGTGACTAGACTTGCCATGGCTGTGTCAGCAAACTGTAGTCCTCAAAGTAGCATCTCTGCTCTTCAATAATTTAAAGAATTCTCGTAGAGCACATCTGCCCAGTGGTGCACAGTGTGTGGCTTCCGGACTGCCGATTCCATGAGAATTGATTGTAGATCCAAGCAAAATGAAATCCTTGACAACTTCAACTTTTTTTTCATTTCCACTCATTGTCTCTATTTGTTCAGGGGCAAGGATTTTTCTTTCCTTTACGTTGAGTTGTGATCCTATAGTCCTGAAGGTTGTCTGCTTTGCTCTTCACCAACGAGTGCTTCAAGTCCTCTTC